GTTCTAGTTCAGTTCTAGTTCAGTTCTAGTTCAGTTCTAGTACAGTTCTAGTAAGTTCTAGTTCAGTTCTAGTTCATTTCTAGTTCTGTTCTAGTTCAGTTCTAGTTCAGTTCTAGTTCAGTTCTAGTTCAGTTCTAGTTCAGTTCTAGTTCAGTTCTAGTTCAGTTCTACTTCAGTTCTAGTTCAGTTCTAGTTCAGTTCTAGTTCAGTTCTAGTTCAGTTCTAGTTCAGTTCTACTTCAGTTCTAGTTCAGTTCTAGTTCAGTTCTAGTTCAGTTCTAGTTCAGTTCTAGTTCAGTTCTAGTTCAGTTCTAGTTCAGTTCTAGTTCAGTTCTAGTTCAGTTCTAGTTCAGTTCTAGTTCAGTTCTAGTTCAGTTCTAGTTCAGTTCTAGTTCAGTTCTAGTTCAGTTCTAGTTCAGTTCTAGTTCAGTTCTAGTACAGTTCTAGTTCAGTTCTAGTTCAGTTCTAGTTCAGTTCTAGTTCAGTTCTAGTTCAGTTCTAGTTCAGTTCTAGTTCAGTTCTAGTTCAGTTCTAGTTCAGTTCTAGTTCAGTTCTAGTTCAGTTCTAGTTCAGTTCTAGTTCAGTTCTAGTTCAGTTCTAGTACAGTTCTAGTTCAGTTCTAGTTCAGTTCTAGTTCATTTCTAGTTCATTTCTAGTTCTGTTCTAGTTCAGTTCTAGTTCAGTTCTAGTTCAGTTCTAGTTCAGTTCTAGTTCAGTTCTAGTTCAGTTCTAGTTCAGTTCTAGTTCAGTTCTAGTTCAGTTCTAGTTCAGTTCTAGTTCAGTTCTAGTTCAGTTCTAGTTCAGTTCTAGTTCAGTTCTAGTTCAGTTCTAGTTCAGAGTTCTAGTTCAGTTCTAGTTCAGTTCTAGTTCAGTTCTAGTTCAGTTCTAGTTCAGTTCTAGTTCAGTTCTAGTTCAGTTCTAGTTCAGTTCTAGTTCAGTTCTAGTTCAGTTCTAGTTCAGTTCTAGTTCAGTTCTAGTTCAGTTCTAGTTCAGTTCTAGTTCAGTTCTCTAGTTCAGTTCTAGTTCAGTTCTAGTGTTTGTTCAGTTCTAGTTCAGTTCTAGTTCAGTTCTAGTTCAGTTCTAGTTCAGTTCTAGTTCAGTTCTAGTTCAGTTCTAGTTCAGTTCTAGTTCAGTTCTAGTTCAGTTCTAGTTCAGTTCTAGTTCAGTTCTAGTTCAGTTCTAGTTCAGTTCTAGTTCAGTTCTAGTTCAGTTCTAGTTCAGTTCTAGTTCAGTTCTAGTTCAGTTCTAGTTCAGTTCTAGTTCAGTTCTAGTTCAGTTCTAGTTCAGTTCTAGTTCAGTTCTAGTTCAGTTCTAGTTCAGTTCTAGTTCAGTTCTAGTTCAGTTCTAGTTCAGTTCTAGTTCAGTTCTAGTTCAGTTCTAGTTCAGTTCTAGTTCAGTTCTAGTTCAGTTCTAGTTCAGTTCTAGTTCAGTTCTAGTTCAGTTCTAGTTCAGTTCTAGTTCAGTTCTAGTTCAGTTCTAGTTCAGTTCTAGTTCAGTTCTAGTTCAGTTCTAGTTCAGTTCTAGTTCAGTTCTAGTTCAGTTCTAGTTCAGTTCTAGTTCAGTTCTAGTTCAGTTCTAGTTCAGTTCTAGTTCAGTTCTAGTTCAGTTCTAGTTCAGTTCTAGTTCAGTTCTAGTTCAGTTTAGTTCAGTTCTAGTTCAGTTCTAGTTCAGTTCTAGTTCAGTTCTAGTTCAGTTCTAGTTCAGTTCTAGTTCAGTTCTAGTTCAGTTCTAGTTCAGTTCTAGTTCAGTTCTAGTTCAGTTCTAGTTCAGTTCTAGTTCAGTTCTAGTTCAGTTCTAGTTCAGTTCTAGTTCAGTTCTAGTTCAGTTCTAGTTCAGTTCTAGTTCAGTTCTAGTTCAGTTTAGTTCATTCTAGTTCAGTTCTAGTTCAGTTCTAGTTCAGTTCTAGTTCAGTTCTAGTTCAGTTCTAGTTCAGTTCTAGTTCAGTTCTAGTTCAGTTCTAGTTCAGTTCTAGTTCAGTTCTAGTTCAGTTCTAGTTCAGTTCTAGTTCAGTTCTAGTTCAGTTCTAGTTCAGTTCTAGTTCAGTTCTAGTTCAGTTCTAGTTCAGTTCTAGTTCAGTTCTAGTTCAGTTCTAGTTCAGTTCTAGTTCAGTTCTAGTTCAGTTCTAGTTCAGTTCTAGTTCAGTTCTAGTTCAGTTCTAGTTCAGTTCTAGTTCAGTTCTAGTTCAGTTCTAGTTCAGTTCTAGTTCAGTTCTAGTTCAGTTCAGTTCTAGTTCAGTTCTAGTTCAGTTCTAGTTCAGTTCTAGTTCAGTTCTAGTTCAGTTCTAGTTCAGTTCTAGTTCAGTTCTAGTTCAGTTCTAGTTCAGTTCTAGTTCAGTTTAGTTCAGTTCTAGTTCAGTTCTAGTTCAATTCTAGTTCAGTTCTAGTTCAGTTCTAGTTCAGTTCTAGTTCAGTTCTAGTTCAGTTCTAGTCAGTTCTAGTTCAGTTCTAGTTTAGTTCTAGTTCAGTTCTAGTTCAGTTCTAGTTCAGTTCTAGTTCAGTTCTAGTTCAGTTCTAGTTCAGTTCTAGTTCAGTTCTATTTCAGTTCTAGTTCAGTTCTAGTTCAGTTCTAGTTCAGTTCTAGTTCAGTTCTAGTTCAGTTCTAGTTCAGTTCTAGTTCAGTTCTAGTTCAGTTCTAGTTCAGTTCTAGTTCAGTTCTAGTTCAGTTCTAGTTCAGTTCTAGTTCAGTTCTAGTTCAGTTCTAGTTCAGTTCTAGTTCAGTTCTAGTTCAGTTCTAGTTCAGTTCTAGTTCAGTTCTAGTTCAGTTCTAGTTCAGTTCTAGTTCAGTTCTAGTTCAGTTCTAGTTCAGTTCTAGTTCAGTTCTAGTTCAGTTCTAGTTCAGTTCTAGTTCAGTTCTAGTTCAGTTCTAGTTCAGTTCTAGTTCAGTTCTAGTTCAGTTCTAGTTCAGTTCTAGTTCAGTTCTAGTTCAGTTCTAGTTCAGTTCTAGTTCAGTTCTAGTTCAGTTCTAGTTCAGTTCTAGTTCAGTTCTAGTTCAGTTCTAGTTCAGTTCTAGTTCAGTTCTAGTTCAGTTCTAGTTCAGTTCTAGTTCAGTTCTAGTTCAGTTCTAGTTCAGTTCTTTTTCTAGTTCAGTTCTAGTTCAGTTTAGTTCAGTTCTAGTTCAGTTCTAGTTCATTCTAGTTCAGTTCTAGTTCAGTTCTAGTTCAGTTCTAGTTCAGTTCTAGTTCAGTTCTAGTTCAGTTCTAGTACAGTTCTAGTTCAGTTCTAGTTTAGTTCTAGTTCAGTTCTAGTTCAGTTCTAGTTCAGTTCTAGTTCAGTTCTAGTTCAGTTCTAGTTCAGTTCTATTCAGTTCTAGTTCAGTTCTAGTTCAGTTCTAGTTCAGTTCTAGTTCAGTTCTAGTTCAGTTCTAGTTCAGTTCTAGTTCAGTTCTAGTTCAGTTCTAGTTCCAGTTCTAGTTCAGTTCTAGTTCAGTTCTAGTTCAGTTCTAGTTCAGTTCTAGTTCAGTTCTAGTTCAGTTCTAGTTCAGTTCTAGTTCAGTTCTAGTTCAGTTCTAGTTCAGTTCTAGTTCAGTTCTAGTTCAGTTCTAGTTCAGTTCTAGTTCAGTTCTAGTTCAGTTCTAGTTCAGTTCTAGTTCAGTTCTAGTTCAGTTCTAGTTCAGTTCTAGTTCAGTTCTAGTTCAGTTCTAGTTCAGTTCTAGTTCAGTTCTAGTTCAGTTCTAGTTCAGTTCTAGTTCAGTTCTAGTTCAGTTCTAGTTCAGTTCTAGTTCAGTTCTAGTTCAGTTCTAGTTCAGTTCTAGTTCAGTTCTAGTTCAGTTCTAGTTCAGTTCTAGTTCAGTTCTAGTTCAGTTCTAGTTCAGTTCTAGTTCAGTTCTAGTTCAGTTCTAGTTCAGTTCTAGTTCAGTTCTAGTTCAGTTCTAGTTCAGTTCTAGTTCAGTTCTAGTTCAGTTCTAGTTCAGTTCTAGTTCAGTTCTAGTTCAGTTCTAGTTCAGTTCTAGTTCAGTTCTAGTTCAGTTCTAGTTCAGTTCTAGTTCAGTTCTAGTTCAGTTCTAGTTCAGTTCTAGTTCAGTTCTAGTTCAGTTCTAGTTCAGTTCTAGTTCAGTTCTAGTTCAGTTCTAGTTTCAGTTCTAGTTCAGTTCTAGTTCAGTTCTAGTTCAGTTCTAGTTCAGTTCTAGTTCAGTTCTAGTTCAGTTCTAGTTCAGTTCTAGTTCAGTTCTAGTTCAGTTCTAGTTCAGTTCTAGTTCAGTTCGTTCAGTTCTAGTTCAGTTCTAGTTCAGTTCTAGTTCAGTTCTAGTTCAGTTCTAGTTCAGTTCTAGTTCAGTTCTAGTTCAGTTCTAGTTCAGTTCTAGTTCAGTTCTAGTTTCTAGTTCAGTTCTAGTTCAGTTCTAGTTCAGTTCTAGTTCAGTTCTAGTTCAGTTCTAGTTCAGTTCTAGTTCAGTTCTAGTTCAGTTCTAGTTCAGTTCTAGTTCAGTTCTAGTTCAGTTCTAGTTCAGTTCTAGTTCAGTTCTAGTTCAGTTCTAGTTCAGTTGTAGTTCAGTTGTAGTTCAGTTCTAGTTCAGTTCTAGTTCAGTTCTAGTTCAGTTCTAGTTCAGTTCTAGTTCAGTTCTAGTTCAGTTCTAGTTCAGTTCTAGTTCAGTCTAGTTCAGTTCTAGTTCAGTTCTAGTTCAGTTCTAGTTCAGTTCTAGTTCAGTTCTAGTTCAGTTCTAGTTCAGTTCTAGTTCAGTTCTAGTTCAGTTTAGTTCAGTTCTAGTTCTGTTCTAGTTCAATTCTGGTTCAGTTCTAGTTTAGTTCTACTTCAGTGAGATCAAAGTCTAGACTATAAAATTTAAACTTTGCTGCATAATTTCAGTTATAAAATTTTTGCGTCAGTCTTTTTGTAAAAACATGCTTGCCTTGATTTGCCAAAAAAAACTGTTTGTTTGCAGTTGAAAAATATTTGCTAACTGCCAATTAAACTTCATTTAAAACAATTTATACAAAATTTCTTTATTTACCAAAAACAAAAAATGTTATAAAATATAAAGAAAAATATTTGTTAAAATTTCACTTACCATTCAACATGTTTATCCTCGTTTATATTTTAAAGCAGATAAATAAATATTAAGCATACTTTCTTCCCACTAATCGTAGTTGTTTACTTTATGCATTGCAATTTTAATCCTGTTTAAAAACTCTGAAAGTCTTGTATATTGTCTGGTGTTTAGTACAGCATCATCACCATTAACAGAAGCAGCAGCAACATGATGGTGATCTTGTTAACTTTTCAACAAATGATTTTAAGTTTGTCTGTCAGTCTGTCGTATTCTTGTTTTTCTTTTTTTCTATTTTGTTATTATAACACACCTTTGAAATGTTTCTACACATACACAAATACAATCATAATTTGTATGCTTTGCGATTTCTATGAGTTAGAGTTGTGTTATTTTATTTAAATTCTTTTTGTAAACACCATATAATGTTACATATTTATTTATATACTCTTTTATATTAGAATATAATTTTTATATATTTATTTCACTTGTTGTTGCCATTTTTTATATTTATTTATATGTTTGTATTTATGCCTATGTGTTTTTTTATGCTCTTATTTTTCTTTTTTGGTTTTATAAATTATGTGTTAGCAACACTTTGCACGTTTCTATCTGTGTCACAGCTCAGTGATTTCTCTTACTGAATCTTGTTGTTTTTGTTGTTGTTTGCTAAAAAATGATTGTAATACTTTTTGCTGTTCTAACATGACTTTTACGGTTTTTATACTCTTCGTGTGTGTGAGTTTTTTAAACAAAAGTTTTTAACATGTCTGTTACTTTTGTGAAAATTCTAATACAGTTTGATGTTTTTCGGTTTATGACTTGTTAGCAGTGGTGGTTGTAAAAAATTACGGTTTAACAAGGATAATTAATTTTTTTCTTAAAAGATCCTTGATACTATTCCCAAGGAGAAAACTAATGCTATTCTAGACCACAGATTATACTATAGAATAGACTATAGACTAGATTGTAAACTAGACTATTGAATGTAGTATACACCAGACCATCAACTACACCATAGACTAGGCTATCAACTTGACTATAGACTAGACTATAGACTAGTCTATAGACTAGACTATAGACTAGACTATAGACTAGACTATAGACTAGACTATAGACTAGACTATAGACTAGACTATAGACTAGACTATAGACTAGACTATAGACTAGACTATAGACTAGACTATAGACTGGACTATAGACTAGACTATAGACTAGACTATAGACTAGACTATAGACTAGACTATAGACTAGACTATAGACTAGGACTATAGACTAGACTATAGACTAGACTATAGACTAGACTATAGACTAGACTATAGACTAGACTATAGACTAGACTATAGACTAGACTATAGACTAGACTATAGACTAGACTATAGACTAGACTATAGACTAGACTATAGACTAGACTATAGACTAGACTATAGACTAGACTATAGACTAGACTATAGACTAGACTATAGACTAGACTATAGACTAGACTATAGACTAGACTATAGACTAGACTATAGACTAGACTATAGACTAGACTATAGACTAGACTATAGACTAGACTATAGACTAGACTATAGACTAGACTATAGACTAGACTAGACTGACTATAGACTAGACTATAGACTAGACTATAGACTAGACTATAGACTAGACTATAGACTAGACTATAGACTAGACTATAGACTAGACTATAGACTAGACTATAGACTAGACTATAGACTAGACTATAGACTAGACTATAGACTAGACTATAGACTAGACTATAGACTAGACTATTGACTAGACTATAGACTGGACTATAGACTGGACTATTGACTAGACTATAGACTAGGACTATAGACTAGTCTATAGACTAGTCTATAGTCTATAGACTAGACTATAGACTAGACTATAGACTAGACTATAGACTAGACTATAGACTAGACTATAGACTAGACTATAGACTAGACTATAGACTAGACTATAGACTAGACTATAGACTAGACTATAGACTAGACTATAGTCTAGACTAGTCTATACTATAGACTATAGACTTGACTATTGACTAGACAATGGACTAGACTATAGACTATAGGCTAGACCATAGACTAGACTATAGTCAGGACTACATAGTAGACTATAGTTGTGAATATAGAAGTTGCTATTATTTCCTCCTTTACTGTGGTAATTTAAAAAGAATTTATAGCTCTTGTTATATTATTGTCATTTACAAGGTTTCTTCTGCTTTTAAACTTGATAAATTATAAGGGAAAGGGAAGACAATAACAAAAAACACAAAATGTACGTGTGAAAAATGTGGTTTTAATCTTTATGATTTCATTACATAGATTGATTTCAAACCATGATTTATACTTTAAATTCTAAAGCTACGCTAAAAGGAAAATTTAAAAATAACATCAAGAAAAGGTATTTTAATTAAAAACTTTTGCAAAATAAAAAAAATAAATTTTTAATTTTCATCAATGTCACTTTGAGTTAAACTCTGACAATGGAATATTGTCAGGGAAGCAATTTCATTTTAAATACACATACATATAAACATATTTTAATTTATAATTATTTTCTTTTGCTTCCATTTATTTTTTTGTTTCATTTAAGATTTTGAGCGGAAAAAAATTAAATATTAATTTAAAATGTATTTCATTTTGTTATTATTGTTCTATTTTAAAACTTGCTGAGGCAGAGAGCAAAGTAGGCTTTTTGTTAAGTTTTATTTTATAACCTTTGCTTTAAACAAAAAAAAAAAAAAAATATTTTTTTTTTACCATTTGGATTTTCTTAACGACCCTGAATTTGTGAAATACCTTGTGAAATCTACTAGTCCTCATCCCTTCTCTGTGCAATATTTTCTAGTATTTAATATTGTTAAAAATATACATATTTCTGTTTTATTTTTATTTAAGTTTGTTTATAGTTTAGTTGTTGCTCTTCATGTAGTTTTATTATGTACTCCTCGTTAGTACTTGTCCAAAAGTTGTCAAATGTTATTTTCTTCTTGTTTGCTCGTTAATGCACTTTCTGTGTTGTCAGTGCTATGTGTGTGTGTGTGTGAGTTTCTTTTTCCACGTACAACTGCAACTGTTCTCTTTTATTCATGTACTCTTAACCCCTTAATATATGCTTTAATTTCGTGTTTTTTTTTTGTTTCTAGCATGAGTAGTGTTTCTGTTGTATCGTTGTTTTAGTTTGTTTTTTATTTGTATGCAGTTATTTTTATAAGCGGTTTACATTATTAATATTTTTTTGTTGTTTGTGCTTTAATGACGTCACGGTTTTTCTCTAGGTGCTCTCAAGGAATTTTGTTAAACAAAAAGTGTTGAGTTGTTAAAGGGATTTTGAAAAGAAGAAGAAAAGGTAAACTACAGACTGAAAATAAACTAAACTGTAATACAAAGTATAGACTAAACTGTAGATTCATTATGGACTAGTTCAGTTCTAGTTCAGTTCTAGTTCAGTTCTAGTTCAGTTCTAGTTCAGTTCTAGTTCACTTCTAGTTCAGTTCTAGTTCAGTTCTAGTTCAGTTCTAGTTCAGTTCTAGTTCAGTTCTAGTTCAGTTCTAGTTCAGTTCTAGTTCAGTTCTAGTTCAGTTCTAGTTCAGTTCTAGTTCAGTTCTAGTTCAGTTCTAGTTCAGTTCTAGTTCAGTTCTAGTTCAGTTCTAGTTCAGTTCTAGTTCAGTTCTAGTTCAGTTCTAGTTCAGTTCTAGTTCAGTTCTAGTTCAGTTCTAGTTCAGTTCTAGTTCAGTTCTAGTTCAGTTCTAGTTCAGTTCTAGTTCAGTTCTAGTTCAGTTCTAGTTCAGTTCTAGTTCAGTTCTAGTTCAGTTCTAGTTCAGTTCTAGTTCAGTTCTAGTTCAGTTCTAGTTCAGTTCTAGTTCAGTTCTAGTTCAGTTCTAGTTCAGTTCTAGTTCAGTTCTAGTTCAGTTCTAGTTCAGTTCTAGTTCAGTTCTAGTTCAGTACTAGTTCAGTTCTAGTTCAGATCTAGTTCAGTTCTAGTTCAGTTCTAGTTCAGTTCTAGTTCAGTTCTAGTTCAGTTCTATTTATAAAAAATTTTATTATTGTTGTAATTATTAAACGCAAATCTCTTAAATGATCATTAAAACATTCAAATCCACTGTCTACTGTAAGGGTTAAGAATAAGTCATTGTTAGCAGAATACTTTAAGGCAAATTTTTTGAAACAATTGAGCTTGAAATACAAAGATAAAGAATTAAACTTTTATTTGTAATCTTAACAAAATTTCTTCTCGAGTGTAAGAAAATGATTATTTTTCTTATTCTAGTCTTAATGAATGAATATATCTTGTTGTTTATTTAAAAGTTTTCAACATTCGTTTTTATTTATAAACAAAAAACAATGAATATTTATACCAATATATGTTCAAGTGTATACATTTGTATATCCTTTATCTTCAACTGCATTGTTTTAAAACCCTGTTTTGTTTGTTTAAATTTATACTTGTGTTTTTTAAACAAAAAACCTTTTGTTTAATATGACTTAAGTAAAAATGACTTAAATTTTTGTTTGTTTTTGCTCCTGAGAGATTTCTTTAAATTATTATTGTTTTTTTCTTCTGTCTTATTGTTTTGAAACATTCAAATGTATTCATAGTATGACAATTTTCTACCTTTTTAAACATTTTATTAAAAACTCACCAAGGTGTATTTAAATGCAAAAACATGGCCTGTTTTTATAAAAGAATTTAAAGGCATTGTTTTGGAATACATTCTACATATACATACATATATTTAAAAAAAACTTTATGCGTTTATTTGTTTAATACTTGGCGCGTTTAGAAAGCCACCTTTTTCTCTCTGTCTTTAATTGAAGATAAACTATACAAACAGTTGTCGACAATTAACCTTGAATGAATAAAGTATTGTCCTACTCGAAAGCAGCACATGCTAAAGAATTTTAAACATTAATGCTGCCGAGGCTTAGGGGAATTTTATTAAATTGTGATTTATTGCGTTTTAAATTAACAATAACAACTCACCTTTTTGTTGTTTTTCTAACAAAAAATATATTGTTTGACATCGCATTGCAGGAAAGTGACAGTTTAGATTTGTCATTTTTGTCTGTTTATAATTTTTTACTTTTATATTAAGAATTCTTAGTTACTTCAGGTTCAGTTCAAGTTCAATTCTAGTTCAGTTTCTAGTTCAGTTCTAGTTCAGTTCTAGTTCAGTTCTAGTTCAGTTCTAGTTCAGTTCTAGTTCAGTTCTAGTTCAGTTCTAGTTCAGTTCTAGTTCAGTCTAGTTCAGTTCTAGTTCAGTTCTAGTTCAGTTCTAGTTCAGTTCTAGTTCAGTTCTAGTTCAGTTCTAGTTCAGTTCTAGTTCAGTTCTAGTTCAGTTCTAGTTCAGTTCTAGTTCAGTTCTAGTTCAGTTCTAGTTCAGTTCTAGTTCAGTTCTAGTTCAGTTCTAGTTCAGTTCTAGTTCAGTTCTAGTTCAGTTCTAGTTCAGTTCTAGTTCAGTTTAGTTCAGTTCTAGTTCAGTTTCTAGTTCAGTTCTAGTTCAGTTCTAGTTCAGTTCTAGTTCAGTTCTAGTTCAGGTTCTAGTTCAGTTTTCTAGTTCAGTTCTAGTTCAGTTCTAGTTCAGTTCTAGTTCAGTTCTAGTTCAGTTCTAGTTCAGTTCTAGTTCAGTTCTAGTTCAGTTCTAGTTCAGTTCTAGTTCAGTTCTAGTTCAGTTCTAGTTCAGTTTTCTAGTTCAGTTCTAGTTCAGTTCTAGTTAAGTTCTAGTTCAGTTCTAGTTCAGTTCTAGTTCAGTTCGAGTTCATCTAGTTCAGTTCTAGTCAGTTCTAGTTCAGTTCTAGTTCAGTTCTAGTTAGTTCAGTTAGTTCTAGTTCAGTTCTAGTTCCGTTCTAATTCAGTTATAGTTTATGTTTTTTATTAAAAACACTCATTATGCATTTTATTTATAAATTCTACATGGAGTATGAGTAATAATTTATTTGCAAGATAATTAAATGTTAAGTATACGTAAAAGTATTGCTCTTTTTAAGTGAGTTTTGTAATACTTGTAAGTATAAAAACAAGATATTAATCATGACAATGATGAAAATTGAAACATGTTCTATTGAAGGACACATTTAATTTTTATTTAAATATTTATTAACTATTTATAACTCTCTCTAGGGGGTAATTGCGTAGTTTGATGCCAAAGATATATGTATTTTTTTGAAAGACAATATATGAAGCTTAAAATATCAAAATAATTTCCCTTTAGAAACGAATTACTAAATAATTTCCCAGATGTAATACATTAAGTATTATATTTTAGTATAATGCAGTAACTTTTTTGTATATTTTTAATGGAAAGTTTATCCTGTTTCTACAAGTAATATGATTTTCATAAAATTTAAATTTCATCTGAAATTAACTATAATAAATTCTTCTTGTAAAGTGTGATATCTATAAATGTTCATTGAAGGGCCGTTTTTAACGAATTGCAAGTACCGTCGCTTAAATGAATATTTTTGAAAACTGTTAAAATTACATTTTGATTATTCCTCAAGAAGAAGAATTTTAAATTATGAGTATTAATAATTTTTGGAATTTGTTTGTTTTTATTGTTTAGTTAAATAGGTAAACATTTTTGAAATATTTATAACTTGGTACACAAATGTTTAACACTGTTGCTTTAGTTTTTTTTAATATCCTTTTCAAAAAAAGTAATCCTTAAAACTACACAGGTTACTCAAATTTCAAGTTGTAGGTATTATCGATTGGTTATGCTTTTGTTCGTTTTCTTTTTATTATTTAAATTCAATTTTTTTTCTTTTCATATATTTGATGTTTTTTATAACGACTTTATTTGTAACAGTTCTTTTTTTGTGTGTTGGATTGCTTTCATTTCTTTCTTTTTTTCTGGTAAACGCAATATTTCCGCACACGCACACTTACGCAGTTAAACACTAATACATATGTATAAAATATTCCATATACACACATAAACTTACAAACTCAATAACATATAAAACTATTATCCAGAAATCTAAACATTTAAAGTGGTCATTTAAGGAAATTTTATTTATTTTTCTTTTTTTTATAAATTTCTTTTTGTTTTAAAAAATTTCAGCAAATTTTTTTTATATTTCTTCTTTTGTTTTTTTCTTGATATTTTATTTACTTTATAAATTATTAATATTTTCTTTAATTTTAAATATTAAACAGCCGTTACAATTTGTTTTTACTACGTCTTTCGTTTGTAACTAAAAAAGCGACTTGAATTCAGGAGTGTAAGCAACAAACTGTTGTTTTCAGCAGAAGTTCTGTTTCACTTAAGTCCCAATGATTTTCCCGTTAACCAAACACTTAAACAATTTAAACAAGAAAAAAATATTACGAAAAGCTTTTGTACTCGCACGTTGTTTGGTTGGCTGCTAAATGGCAACACACACAAACACGCACATACAAAAAGCTTTTGTTAACAGTTATCCCCCGTTTAAGGAAGGTTAGTTATAAAGAGAAAAGAGAGAAAAAGAGATTGTGAAAATAACTGTATTACTTTAGTATAAGAGTTTTCTTTGTACACTGTTAAAAACATTTACAAAATAACTCTTATTTGATTTACCTTTACCTTTAAGTTTATTTGTTGTAGTTTATGTATGTGTGTTTTAGTTGTTGTTTTTTATTACTGTTTTTAAGGCAATTGTTGCTTTTACTATTCGTTTGTGCATATTAGTTGTCTTGTTTTTAATGCTCTAGAGTAAAACTATATGTCATTTTTCCTCCTTCTTGTACATTTCGTTCTTCCCATAGCCAACAGCAGCCTTAATAGAATTTTTCTCGTTTCTGTTGTTTTTTCTTTTATCAAACATGTGGTTTTAGGTTTGGTACGTGTTTGCCATATTAATCTTGTTAAATTCATTTAAATTATCACATCTCTCACATTTGTTTGGCTCTTATTAAAACACTAGAGTAGTAAAGTGTTAGAGTTGGAGCAATTTTCCTTAAACAAATTGATTATTTGTTGCTGGTGGATAATGGCGAGTAAAAGGAAACTTGTGCTTAACTAAGGGAAAGCACCTTTTAAAGAGGAATAACGGTTGGGTAAAGCTAAAAGAAAAGTTAGTTAGTTAGTTAGTTAGTTAGTAACTTAGTTAGTTAGTTAGTTAGTTAGTTAGTTAGTTAGTTAGTTAGTTAGTTAGTTAGTTAGTTAGTTAGTTAGTTTGTTCGTTCGTTCGTTAGTTTAGTTAGTTCGTTCGTTCGTTCGTTAGTTCGTTTCGTTCGTTCGTTCGTTCGTTCTTTTCGTTTGTTCGTTTAGTTCGTTCGTTAGTTTCGTTCGTTCGTTCGTTCGTTCGTTCGTTCGTTCGTTTCTTTTTCGTTCGTTTCGTTCGTTCGTTCGTTCGTTCGTTCGTTCGTTCGTTCGTTCGTTCGTTCGTTAGTTCGTTCGTTCGTTCGTTCGTTCGTTTCGTTCGTTCGTTCGTTCGTTCGTTCGTTCGTTCGTTCGTTCTTCGTTCGTTTCGTTCTTCGTTCGTTCGTTCTTCGTTCGTTCGTTCGTTCGTTCGTTGTTCGTTTCGTTCCGTTCGTTCGTTCGTTCGTTCGTTTCGTTCGTTTCGTTCGTTCGTTCGTTTCGTTCTTTAGTTCGTTCGTTCGTTCGTTCGTTCTTCGTTCGTTCGTTCGTTCGTTCGTTCGTTCGTTCAGTTCGTTCGTTCGTTCGTTCGTTCGTTGTTCGTTCGTTCGTTCGTTCGTTAGTTCGTTCGTTTCGTTCGTTCGTTATTCGTTCGTTCGTTCGTCGTTCGTTCATTCGTTCGTTCGTTCGTTAGTTCGTTCGTTCGTTCGTTAGTTAGTTAGTTAGTTAGGTTTAGTTCCTTAGCAACGCCCCACACGATTACTAAATGTTCAAAAACCTACCCAAATTGGTTAAGAAATTTAACTTACCGAACCAATAAGGACATTTTCGTAAACATTACATTGATTTCCATCTGTGGGATCTGTTTACACAATAGTTGTGGGAACTATGAGAACTTACATTTTAAACATTTTTGTTATTTAAATGTGGAATATATTTTGTATAACAATAACAATTTCCAGTCTAAAAAGTCACTACTTCTAATGTTGACGTTAGATGTCGCCCACATACTACTATTTCTTGCAATTATCAACACTATTGTGAATGATTTGTTTTGTGCTACTCATTTATTTCCATTGTGAATATTTTTTGTTTTGTTTCATGCCACACTATTTCATTGCGTACACAAATGTCAAGTAGTTTGACATGTTACTGAAGTGGAAGAGAAAAAAAGAAAAACAATAGAATTGTTAAGAAAAATACAATTTTCCCCTAGGAAAATGTAAAATACTAATAAATAAAACAAATATTTAAATCAATACATGTGTTTAAAGTAAACATAAATAGAAAATCGTGTAATATTAATAATAAGTTCAACAACTAAAGCGATAAAACAAGATTTTAAAAGTAATTTAATAAGTGCTGTCAGTGTGTAAGCGTAGGTTTATGAGATCATACAACAAAAATAATTTAATAATATCAATGTTAGTAAACAGCTTGTAAAAAAAACATGTTTGTTTAAACAAAATAATGGATTTCGAGGCTGAAGATATACAAGGCCCGCCAGGCTCAAGGCGGCGTACATTTTCTATCGACTCCCAACAGTCTCAGCAAAGTTCTAAACAAAACTTTCCCCTGATGACCAGTGACTCAGGCCTTTACACCTGCAGCTCTAATGCAAGCGATTGCAGTTTACCGTTGGAGTCTGATACAGATTCCTCGCTTCCAAGCAGTAAACTAAAACTGCTAAAAGATGAAAGACTGCAATTGGCCTTGCAGGATGTGCGCAAATTACGCAGTGAATTGGAAAGATTAACCAAGTCCGAACAATGGTATAAACAAGAGCTAAGGCAACAGAAAACCACACGACTGGAGGATTTAGAGAGGATATATACGCAAGAACGGAAATTTATGCAAGAAAATCAACGTCTGCAAAAGGAATGTGTAAGACTGTATGAAAAGTGCAATGAATTGGAAAGGGAATTGGAAAAACAAAATCAGGAGGCCAGTAGTAACCAGCCTAAGCAACACGTGTTCGAGGAGGAAGATGTTGCAGAGGAAAATATACTTCAATTTGAAAAAGAGCAACATATGGCTTTGATAAAAGATCAACAGCAATTGATTTCTGTTTTACGCAAACAAAAACGTTCTTTACTGGAAGATTTAAGATGCCTAACCGTGGAAAAGGATGAGAAAGTAATGGAACTACAGCGTCTTTTGGCCGATCTAGAATTTGATAATAAACTTATCACCAAAAAATGCACACAATTTGCCAAGGAACGTAATTTATTGGAAAACAATTTAAAACAAACTGATTGCAAGTTAACGGGCACTTTAGAGGAAAAAATGAATTTACAAAAGTCTATAGTAGAACTCAAAGAACAATTGGTTATACAAACGGAACTGCTTAAGCTTAAGGAATCGGAGATAGAAAATATACAACAACACTATACAAGTAAGATACAGGCGGAAGAAGACATGGAAGAAGTGCATAATTTAAGTGTAAAATACCAGGAGGAGATCAATTCTAAAACCTTAGAAATTATTAATTTAAAAGAAAGACTACAAGAAATGCAAGATGAAATGGAGAATATGCAGCAATTGCAGCAACAAAATGAACTGCAGCAAAGACAAATAGAAGAACTAAACTTCAAACTAGAAACCTACCGTTTAGAGCTGCAGGAACTTAAGGCTTCAGAGCAAGATAAAAACCAACAATTGCAAGATTTACATCAGGCCATGGATAATTTGATTAAAGATAAAAATAAGATTTACAAAACTACGGTAGAACAACAAAATGATTTATTGAGATTAAAACAGGCTTTAAAATCTACCCAAGAGCAGTATGAACAGGTACAAGAATTGTACAAAAACACACAATTTCAACTCGAATTATTAGAATTAGAACATGGAAAAGTTAAATTTCAAAACGAACGAGATAGACAGGAAATAGAACATTTAAGGAATAAACTAAAACAGTACTTACAACAAACTACGGAATTGAGTAATAAATTGCACTCACTGGAGCAAGAAATGGTTAAAGTTTTAAAGGAAAACTCACAACTTAAACAAGAATCGCAGGAAATGCAAAAGCAAGTGAAGGAGCAAGAGATTTTGTTAAAAGAGTGGGAACAAATGAAACCACAAGGTAAGAATTAATAAAATAAAACCATAATTATGGATTATGATTATATTTTGCTTTACATTTAATAGATCTAACTGATAATGTATTGACACAGTCTCAGGGGATTGATAATTCTTCTGCCGATCAAGATTTCCTAGAACTGCAGCAACAGTGTGAAAAACTTCAGGCAAAACTTGATTTTGCACAACAGCATCAAACGCAAACGGAAAATCATATTATTTTGCAAACACTAAATGATTTTGTAAAGAAAGTTGCCCATGTACAAAAGGAAGAGGAACTTATGCCCGCAAATTCTTATCTGTCAAATGATAATACTGACTCCGATTTTATAAAATTATCCTTACAAAGTAATAAACTACAAGAAAATCTTAATAAACTTAATGATTTCCTACAGGAAAAGCAACAATTACTTGGGCACTCAGATAAAATACAAGAATCCAATGAGGGCATGGAAAAACTAGTCAAAGAGAATGAAATTCTCAAGCAAAAACTAAGCGAAACTGAAACAGAAGCCTGCTCACTGCAAATAAAACAAGATATCAATGAAAGAACCCAGAAATATACTCTTATAGAGGAAACTCTTGAGGAACATAAAATAAAAGTAAAAACTCTGCAAGATCAACTATTGGAAAATGATGCAAAACTTTATAAAATGCAAAGAAAACTTGAGATATTACAGCAAGTTGATGTTAAACTAGAAGAATTCGAAAAGGAAAATAAAAAACTAAAAGAACAATTAAGACAAGAACTGGAAAGTAAGACTGATTTAAATAGAAAATTGCAAGAGGAAAGGGAAAACATATTAGAATTAAAAAATTGTTTAGAGGAAATAAAAATGAAACAGAAATTTACCAAACATCAAGCCATACAATGTGATTTGCAGGAAGATTCTAAGGAATCCCATAATGAAGTTAAGGAGCTGAAAGAGCATGTTCTAAAGCTACAACAGCAGCAGCAAATGTTCCTAGAACAAGAAGCTTATAAAAAAGAAGAACGTTTACAATTTTTGCATAAAATGCTAGAATTGCAAAATAATAAAATGCATAATCTACAACAGCAACAACAGGATTGGCAGGAG